CTTGCTAACATTTATCTGATTCACTTCAAGATTTCCTTGTATTGTACAGTTTTTGTTGTGTACTAATTTTAGTAGTATTTGACTTCTTTAATTTCATTAATAAAATCACAAACATACACCAAAATATTACAACCTAATATGAAGAATACCTGATTCAAAAGCTTTAATGGTAAATCAATGGTAGACTAAAAAAAATTAATGATACATGGTCATATTTATAATAATTATAATTACGTGGTTATTCATATAGGAGTAAAATTCTATTGTTAATTGGATATTCATATTAATTGTAATATGTGGTGCTTTGCTATAAGTAAAATTCTTTTGTATAAAAGATAAATTTTTTTCAAAAGAATTATAAATTATTTTGGGGGATTTTTCTGTGTGGCTGGCCTGTAAAACAATAGAAATTCCTTTCCTTTCAAATACCTGTTTTGCTCTTTTTAAAAATACGAAATATGAAATTCTAAGACATTACCGCCACCGTGAAAATGGCTAAGACAATTATAAAAGACACACAGCGGAAGACTCACTTTAAAAACCATTCAAAACAAGTTAACTTTAAAAGTCAAACCAAACGAAAGTAAAGTCAAACTAAAGTTAGACAAATTCAACCTACAACTTGGAACCATTGTAGGCCTCTTATCAAAACCCAAAACGGATTTTAAAAACCTTTGTGTTAGTCTCACAAGAAAAATATATGATAATCAAAACAATAAACCACATCATATTCTTATAGAAACTAAGCATGATTCGCTGTTCACTCATGCCCATCACGAATATGCTTCATCACCTGAAAAGCTTCTCTTTACTTTGTCCCCACTACTTGCCATTAGAAATGGGTCGTCGTAGGGCCAAGATAAAGACAAGCCAAACAAACATACAAACACACAATCAGCACTGCTGGGTACATAAGCGTAAACAGCACACACTAACATGCTTTCATACTATCAACACACAACTTACCTTGTTGCACCTGTTAAGAGCATACAATATACCAAACAACCAACCAATAAATAAATAAATTGCTTATTTAATTTGATTACGCATCGAACGGGTTTCCCATCAAATCCCTGCCCCAAATAAATTGAGATAAACTACACCGGGAGCTAACCGGGTAGGCAAATGCCATGAAAGTGACTGGACATCCTGCGCATAAAATAAATAAAGGAAAATACAGCATCTTGTACTCCCAGTAGAAGTTATGATCAAATATAAAGTCGCATAACTCCCCCTCCCCCCAATATGTTTATACTCGAGGTATATACGTTACAAGAGTTTTGTTGCGTAATCTCTTTCACTATACATTATTTACATATTTTTTAACTTGGTGATGACTCTCAAACCATAATACAATCAATCATAATAAATCATTCAAGTGATCAAACACACCAATTTAATTCTTGAATAATTTGTGACCACATAAATTTAATGTTGAACCCTTTTTAAACTATCTCGGCGTTAAATAACACCTTAAGCACATAAAGCACCGCAAATCCTATCCCTTGGTGTTTAGAACACCTTAAGTGCCCTTAGGCACCGCAATACATTTTATGTTTGTGTACTAAGACACTTAATAGCTCAATTCTCATGCTTAAAGCATCAATAAAAAATATATGAACCATAATAAAATTTCTCTTTTATATTCCAAACCAAATTAAACCTTTAGTTTAATTAAACATGCTCTCAATCATGCCAATAATAAAAGTGTGGTTCATATTCAACATGCCAACATAGTTATTTCCAATCAACAATTCACGTCAAACAATTCATACTTCACAAATCAACCACCAAAATCAATCCAGTCAACAATTTCAACCAATACCTATCATGATACTACCTCGGAATTAATTATACAAAGCCTAGCAAGCTTCCATACACTTAAATAATTACCGAGTACGCGGAAGTACCTCAAATATGATCTCAAAATTGCCACGACTACACAAAATCACTCACTTGAAAATCTCCTACAACCCAAAATTACAAAGAGACATTAATACCTATTCAATATAAAATTCTAGTAATATATAAACTATTTAAATCACTTATAAACCCTCTAAAATAAGCTGAAAATTAATTTAAAACCCCTACTTTTATTCCTAATTAATGGGCAATTAAAAGTCCTTTCAAGAAACATAATTCTAACCTTTATATAAAAATTCCATCTTTATAAAAACATGTAAAATTGCTGTAGTTTTGTTTAAAAACACCTATTTCAATAATTCCAACCAACTACAATCAATTTCCATCAATGTACATTAATTTAGAAACCTAGGGTTTCAATTTGGGGCTTTTTAATTGGAAAAATAAATCTGAAAATTATATACATAATAATCATAATCAAACATCATGAAAATCATCACACAACCCAAAAATAATAATTAAATCAAGGCTAGATTAATATTAAATCAAAGAAGAGTTTTTTTTTTTATAAACACACACACAACCGCACGACGGGAGGGGGCTCATACCGCCCTCCACGCCGGCAGCTTCTGCTGGCAACGGTTGTCGGCCGGTGGGAAGTGGTGGTGGTGGTCGGCCACCGTGTGTGTGCGTGTGATGTGTAAAATAAAAGGGGAGGGGGAAAAATTAAGGGAGAGAAAATAGGAGGGGAGAGAGAGAGAAAGAGAGATAGATAGAGAGAGAGAGAGAGAGAGAGAGAGAGAGAGAGAGAAAGAGAGAGAGAGTTTACCTTTGGGTATTTTCCACCTTGGGCAAGATCTAACATGCTCATAAGATGGGTATTTATACTCCCTCTCAAAACCCTCCTAACCTTAAATTTCCTTTCTACCCCTAATGATCCCTTCTCCTAGTCAAACTAGTCATTTGACTTCCTTTAAAATTCCATTGACTTTAAAACTTCCTTTTATAAAATAATATGCCCCAAAGTTTCTAAATAATAAAATAAAATTTTTCTAAGCAATTAAATAATAAAAATGGACATTTAATTAAAATAAACCTTTTTAAATAAATAAAATACAATAAATAATTCATTTCAAATTATTTAAATATTTCATAAAACAATGATTTAAATTAAAATACATATAAAAGTACAGGGTATTACAATTTACCCCCCTTAAAAGAAGTTTCGGGTAACAAAAATCAAAATTTTTCTTCACTTTGTGTAATATTGTTGTACACTTTTGACATACTTTTACCTTAATGTCTCCTTGAAATCAAAAGTACTCGAAATAACTGTTAAAAATGTGCAAAAGCACTAAATAACATAAAATAGAGGGAAAAAGCGCGAAATTCTACCACATTCTGCCCCCCTTAAAGAAAACGAGTTATGTATCCGTAACTCAACATACCTTAAACAACTCAGGGTACTTCTTTTTCATCTCATCCTAGGCATCCCAAGTTGCTTCCTCATATTCTTGGTTAGACCAAAGCACTTTAAAATCTTAACTTCCTTGTTGCGTGTACTATGCACTTTACTGTCAAGGATCTTGACAGTTCTCTCCTCGTAAGTTAAGCTTTGATCTAACTCAATTGGTTCAGGTTGTAGCACATGTGACTTATCAGGTATATACCTTCTTAACTGGGACACATGAAATATATCATGCACTTTACTTAGTTCCATAGGTAAAGCCAACCTATAAGCTACTTTGCGTATTCTCTGTAATGTTTCATATGGACCAATATACTTTGGGCTAAGCTTTCCTTTCTTCCCATATCTCATAACAACTTTAATTGGCGCACCTTCAATAACAACACTTTGTCACCAACTTTAAACTCTTCCTCCCTACGCTTCAAATCTGCATAACTCTTTTGACGATCTTGCACTACTTAAATATCTTTTACCTTTTTAACAATATCCTCGATCATTTGAGGCCCTAAGTCATTGTTTCACTTATGTCGTTCCAACATAAAAGACTGCGACACTTCCTTCCATATAGTGCCTCAAATGGTACCATGCCAATGCTTGCTTGGTAACTATTGTTATAAGAGAAATCAATTAAGTCCAAGCTATCTTCCCATCCCCCTTGGAAGTCTATGACACAAGCTCTCAACATATCTTCCAAGGTTTAAATAGTTCTCTCAGTTTGCCTATTTGTGGCAGGGTGAAATGTTGTACTCATCTTTAGTGTTGTACCAAAGTTTTCCTAAACTTTGCCTAGAATCTCTATCAGACACAATATCCTTTGGAACTCCATGTAACCTCACAACATTCTTGATGTAAGCTTTTGCAAGTTGCTCTATCTTCCATGTCTCCTTCATTGGTATGAACACTGCAGATTTAGTAAGTCTATCCACCACAACCCAAATGGTATCATTTGCACTCTTTGACTTTGGGAGGCAAGTCACAAAATCCATCAAAATGCAGTCCCACTTCCATCCAGGAATTTCTAATGATTGTACGGTTCCTTGCGGTCTCATGTGCTCTATCTTCACCTTTTAACAAGTTAGACACTTTGCTATAAATTCCGTAATTTCATTCTTCATTCTAGGCCACCAATACATCTTTTTCAAGTCTTTGTATAACTTGTCCCCTCCTGTGTGCACTGAGTATGGCGTATTGTGACCTTCTTCCATTAATTTCCTCTTTACTTCCTCACATTTTTGTGGAACACACCATCGACCTTTGTACCTTAGACTCCCATCTTCATAAATTTTGAAATCTGTAGCCTTTCCTTGCTTTATTTTCTCACGAATCCTATCAAACTTAACATCTCCTGCCTGATATTCCATTATCTCATCAAATATTGTTGGTTGAATGCTTAGATTCGCAAGTATACCTACTAGTACTCCCCATTCTACCACTTCCAAGTTCATTTTCCTCATTTCCCTACATAACTCATCAGCCACTATCAAAGTGTTCAGTCCATGACTAGTCTTACGACTTAGAGCGTCCGTAACTACATTTGCTTTCCCTTCGTGGTATTGTATATCCAAGTCATAGTCCGTTGCAAATTCTAACCATCTCCTTTGGCGTGAGTTTAGATCTCTTTGGGTGAAAATGTACTTCAAACTTTTATGGTATGTGTAAAATCTACATTTCATTCCATTCCATACAAGTAATGCCTCCGAATATTTAGTGCAAAAATGATTGCAGCTAATTCTAAGTCATGAGTAGGGTAGTTTACTTCATGAGGTTTCAACGGCCTTGATGCATAGGTAATCACCTTCCCATTTTGCATACGCACACATCCCTTACCATTCTTGGATGCATCACTATATACATCATAGATTTCACTATCATCTGGCAGTGTAAGCACTGGTGCTGTAATCAACTTTTGTTTCATGAGTTGGAAAGCTTTCTCACACTTCTCATCCCATTCAAACTTCTTGTCATTCTCCATTAGAGAGGTCATAGGCTTAACAATCTTAGAAAAGTCCTTCACAAAATGCCTATAATACCCTGCTAAACCTAAGAAATTCCTAATGTTAGACACCGTCTTTGGCATAGGCCACCCTTTCACTGCCTCAATCTTTGATGGATCTACTTCTACCCCATCCTTGGACACAAAGTGACCCAGAACTGCTAATTTCTCCAACCGAAACTCACACTTGGTAAACTTCACATAAGCTTGTTTTCCCTTAAGGTTTGTAGAATTGCCCTCAAATGCTCTACATGCTCCTCCTTATTCTTTGAATACACCAGTATATCATCTATGAACACCACGACAAACATGTCCATAAATGGTGGAACACCCTATTTTTCAAGCTCATGAAGATTGCTAGAGCATTGGTCAACCCAAATGGCATTATTGTGAACTCATAATGCCCATACCTTGTTCTAAATGCAGTCTTGGGAATATCTTCATCTGCGATCCTCAACTGATGGTATCAGACCTTAAATCAATTTTGGAAAATACAGATGCGCCCCTCAACTGGTCAAATAGGTCATCAATCCTTGGTAATGGGTACTTGTTCTTTATGGTATCCTTATTCAACTCCCTATAGTTAATACATAACCTCATAATCCCATCCTTTTTCTTAACAAACAGCACTGGTGCTCCCTAAGGCAAAGCACTTGGTCTAATGTACCCCTTTTCTAACAAATCTTGTAGTTGCACCTTTAATTCACTCATTTCTGCAGGTGCCATTCGATATGGTGCCTTGGAAATCGATGCTATCCCTGGGACCAACTCTATTGTGAAATCAATTGCACTTTTAGGCGGCATTCCTGGAATCTCTTCCGGAAACACATCCAGAAACTCATTTACAACTTCTATGTTCTCAGGCTGAGCTGTCTCTTCGTGTTCTAATTTTCTCACACTACAAAAATATACTGGATGTCCCTTCTTAATATACTTTTCCAACTTCAACATAGATATGACCCTTGGACACTTTGTTTCACTGTGCTTCCAATACGTTACCAACTCACCCTTAGTCGTACTCATATGTACTTTCTGTGATCGCCAACTAATCTCTACACTATACTTGCTCAACCAATCCATTCCCAAAATGACATCGAAGTCACTTAACCCAAACTCGATGAGGTCAGACAAAAACACTTTTCCCTCGATCTCTAATGACACATCCTTAAAGGTTTTGGTACACTGTACTACCCTTCCCTTAGGAATAACTATAGGTACATCTATAACATCTACGGTTTTCAAGTAGTGCGATAGTTTGAAACAATGGCTTTGAAATGAAAGAAAAAGTTGCACTAGAATTAAACAAAACGTTAATAGGAATAGAGTTAATAGAAAAAGTAGCAGTAATAACATCCTTCGTAGTACCAGCTTCATGCCTATTTATCACATTTAGTTTTCCTAGAGCTCCACTCTTCACCTGATTATTCCCATTATTGTTGCCTTTCACCCCATTCTGTTATGCCCCTTTGTTCCCTGAATAGTTGTTGTTCCCCTAAAAGTTCCTTTGAACTCCTCCTTGATTACTGCCCTGCTTGTTTCGGTTAGAATCTTTGGAGAAGAACTCGTACTCCTTATGTCCCAACTTGTTGCAAGCGCGACAAGTAACCAAGTTATCATGGCAGTCTCTACTAGGGTGGTCATTTCTACACCTTTTGCAGTAATAATGCCTTGGTCCTTTGTTTTTTCCCTGGTTAGAGTTCTTAGCTCCTCCATTAAAGTTTCTCCCACCTTGGCGATTGTTACTGTGGAAGTTGTTATTGTTGTTAAAGTTGTTGTTGTTATGGTGGTACTTCTGCTTCTTGAAGTTGTTTTGGTTACCTTGCGGCTTTCTGGAGTTTTTCCCGTCTATTTTCTCTTTTCCTTCCCTTCCACCTCCGCTAACTCTTTCTTTTTCTTCAACTCCAATGCATAAAGGTGTGCAGACCTCCCATACACTTCATCCAAGGTTTTGAACACTTGTCCACATAGCTTTAGCTGCAAATTAGTGGTCAATCCACTCTCAAACTTCCTAGCCTTTGCCTTTTCTATAGAAATAGATTCTTTGGTAAATCGTGATAGCTTAATAAACTTGGTATAATACTCAGTGACTTGCATATCTCCCGTTGCTAAGTTAGAAAATTCTTCAGCTCTTTGTTTCTGTAAGAAACTGGGGTAAAACTTGTCCCTAACCTTCTCCTGAAACATAGTCCAGTTGAACCCAGGTAGTGCTTTAATGGTAGCCTCATTTTGTTGCCACCAAAGGTCAGATTCACCCTAGAGGTAATAGGTAGCACAACCTACTTTCGAAATTTCTGGGCATCCAATTACCCCAAACAGTTTCTCAAATTCCCTTAACCAGTTTTCCAGCACTGTTGGATCAGGTTCGCCTTGATAGTTTAGTGGCTTGCTTTACGCCACCTTCTTAAACATCACTCCCTGAGCATCCCCATTGTTGTTCGAGTTTCTTGCTAACTGCTGGGCGACCACTGCTAACTGCCTTACAACCTCACTTAGCTCATTCCCTTCATTATTGCTCCCACTTCCTCCTGCCATCTTTCTTCGCCGGAATTAAAACAAGGGGTCTTTATTAATTATGGTCATGGTTAGCTCTCAAGTTACGCACCCATCTAATTAACTTATACCTTTCATACACGCATATTTAATTTTAAGCTAACAAATTGAGATTGCAAAATTACAATTCCCAAAATTTGCAGCTTGATCAACCAACTTTTGATTGCTAACCAACCATACATTTAATAAAGCATCACATCAATAAATAAAAATAATTCCCATGATTTCCCAAAGTTTAGAAATGAATTATTGGAATATTTGAGTAAGAAATGGCTCATTGAAGTAGTGATACGAAATGAATTACTTGGCAGTAAAATGAATTATTTGGCAAGGAAATGAATAAAATTTTATTGCTGAGTTAGAAAATGAATAGAAAAATGAAATGAAATGAGTTCGAATAACCTACGCAACTCAATAGGTTTATTGACTCCTTGTGGCCATGCCACTTATTACTTTACTGACAAAGGAATATATTAAAACCGCGGAAATGAAACTAAGAATCCTAAAAGAAATGAAACTACAAAAATCTATTCCTTTCGAACATTGTCCTTCGACTGTTTGTAGCTTCCAGGAATGAATTCTGGGTCATCTTCCTAATCCATTGGTTCAGGTGTCTCTAGATTTTGCTCTACTTGAATGAACTCATTATCTTCCTCATCGTCAGATAAAATGTCAATTATAATTGGAGTTGGGGGTGGAGTTGGATTTGGAATTTCCATAATGGAACTATCAACAGTATGGTTACTTTAATCCATTAGCTCTCCTTCCTCTTGCCCTCCATTTGCTCCCACTTGATTACCCTGTGCGGAGAAAAATTTCCTGATTGATTGATAGTGGAAGGGAAATTATTCCCGACTGGGTTATCATAGTAATAATTTGGATATGGAATGTGTAAACGCTCGCAGTGATACTTTTCTACTCGAACGAGATAAGATATCAAGTATCTGTACTTAGGGTACCACTTTCCATAATAATCTTTGTATTTGGAGTAATTTGGGATGTCCCCAGGTAAGTAAAAATCAGAAAACTTTGCTTTGACAGCAAGAATGGGGGTTCATCTAGAAGGCAAGTGAATGATCATAGCTGAAACACGATTAGGAAGGTCATAATGTTTGTCTCCTAGGATATCGCTCATATGAGAACAGTATAATCGAATTTTCTTAACATAGTCAAAGGGATGTTTACATTCTTTCTTAATTAGAGTACCAATTTGAGAGTGTTTGCTAGGAAAGATCGACATCTTGTAAAGGAAAAGACTTAGAAAAGAATTCCCTTCCCAGAGAAAATAAAATAACACAGTTCTTGCATGAATTTAGGTTCAATGTTCAATCAAACTATCAATTTTACTTATTTCTAGTCACATGATTACATGCTTCCAAAAAATCAATTCACAAGGTCAAAAATCACAACCTAAATATTAATGCATACAAGAATATGATTATTTCTAATTTATATGCCCAAATTCTTACCTACCCAAGCTCACCAACATGCTTTTTAAAGCTTATAACACATAATTCTTACCTTAATCCTTCGCTTTCTTGCAAAATGAACAAACTAAAAATATTTTTGACTCTAAAATAAAATATTTCGAAAAAGGCCAAAATAATCGGCCATCATAAAAAAAAAATTCGAACACCCTAATTTTAAAAAAAATTCGGACGTTTCCAAAAAAAAAAAAATTCGGACCCTTTTACAAAAAAATTTCGGTCCTCTTTTTAATTAAAATAAAATAACTCACTTTTAAAATTACTTGATTAAATAAACATTTGGCCAAGTTTAAAACAAAATACTTTAAAACACTTTTTTGGCTTTAGTGGTAATAAAAATCTCAACCAAAACTCTCAGATACCACTTTGTAGCACCCTAGAAATTCCTTTCCTTTAAAATACCTGTTTTGCTCTTTTTAAAAATACAAAATAGGAAATTCTAAGACATACCGCCACTGTGAAAACGGCTAAGGAAATTATCAAAGACACACAACGAAAGACTCACTTTAAAAACCATTCAAAACAAGTTAACTTAAAAAGTCAAACCAAGCGAAAGTAAAGTCAAACCAAAGCTAGACGAAGTCAACCTACAACGTGGAACCATTGTAGGCCCTTATCAAAACCCAAAACGAATTTTAAAAACCTTTGTGTTAGTCTCACAAGCAAAATATATGATAATCAAAACAATAAACCACATCATATTCTTATAGAAACTAAGCATGATTCGCTATTCACTCATGCCCATCACGAATATGCTTCATCACCTGAAAAGCTTCTCTTTACTTTGTCCCCACTACTCGCCATTAGAAATGGATCGTCCTAGGGCCAAGATAAAGACAAGGCCAAACAAACATACAAACACACAATCAGCAATGCCGAGTACATAAGCGTAAACAGCACACACTAACATGCTTTCATCCTAGCAACACACAACTTAACTTGTTGCGTTTGTTACAAGCATACAACATACCAAACGACCAACCAATAAATAAATGAATTGCTTATTTAATTTGATTACGCATCGAACGGGTTTCCCACCAAATCCCTGCCCCATATAAATTGAGGTAAACTACACCGGGTAGGCAAATGCCACAAGAAAGTGACTGGACGTCTTGCGCATAAAATAAATAAAGAAAATTACAGCGTCCTGTACTCACAGTAGAAGTTATGATAAAATATAAAGTCGCATAACTCCCCCCCCCATATGTTCATACTCAAGATATATACGTTCCAAGAGTTTTGGTGTGTAATCTCTTTCACTTTACGTTATTTACATATTTTTTTGACTTGGTGGTGACTCTCAAACCATAATACAATCAATCATAATAAATCATTCAAGTAATTAAAACACACCAATTTATTTCTTGAATAATTTGTGACCATATAAATTTTAATGTTGAACCGTTT